CCGTCACTTTTATTTTTGGTACTTGAGAATACCGATACCTGTATTTCCATTGCATTTGTAATTGTAAAATATATTAGGTAGAGAAATCATATTTGTGGATTTAATTTGTTTAGCAAATATACATTCTTCAGTTCTTTTCATGCTTAATTATTCGTCAGTTCAAGTGCAAGACGACGTGAAAGAGAATTCAATGCAGTAATCAAGCGTCCGTCTGAGATGCGGCTTTCTGGGCGTGCGCTTCGGATGTTTGCGCACAAACAACTTGTCCTGTAAATATCCTGGAATAATGTAGGGAACAGGGATGTCTGTAAATAAGGGATGCGCCCGACAAACTCGAACGTCTGTCCTGCTGCTCGCTAGTCCACTCCACATTTCGCTTATCAGCTCGAGCACAGCAGCTATATAGGCAGAAATATTTAATTGTTTTAACAGTCTTTATTTGTTTAACAGTCTATAAATTCGATACATTTACTTCACAGACATCCTTCTATGATATATCCATTCTACTGTCTGTTTGCTGTGATGTCAGCGTTTCGTTGTCACAAGCTCTCTACTGTACACGCTGTGTGGTATCGGTTGTTGGTATCGGAGCACGAGCGCAGTATTGGGTCCTATATATATATATATATATATATATTAGAGGTGGGCATAGATTAATTTTTTTAATCTAGATTAATCTAGATTAAAATGGCTCATTTGAATTCTCCCGAAGGCATTCAGAATATGTGTGCTACCCAAATAATGACTAAAAGTAAGTCTTTGGGAATAGTTTGCCTCGCGTAGGGATGTGCATTTCTGCCAAAAATGCCATTCGAAAATCGAGGAGCAAAAGTCGAATATCGTTAAAAACAACAAAAAACAACAACAACGCAATGACAGAAAGGGAGGCCAATTTCATCTTTAGCGATTTGTCATCAAACAAACTGTTTATATATATATATATCTTTATTATTTCTTCTATATTGCTTTATTTTTATTTAAGTTTTAGTAATTTTAGTACTTCAACGTATGCATTTTTTTTCAGTTAGTTGCCAATGCACATTTCTAATTTTTAAGTTTTTCATCTAACAGTTATATTTGACTGTGCGACATATCTGTTTTACACTAGATTGTTTTAAGGTTTTTGCTTTTTTTTTACGGGCACTTTGTTATTCACTCATATGAATATTTATAATCTTGCATGCTCTCAAAATGAGAGCAGTGTTTGTACTTGTAATTGATCCGCTGCAACTTAATTGCACTAAATATATGCATGAGGTGCACAATAGCCACAATTCTCTGTGACGACTTCACACTGTAACCCCAACCTTACCCAACAAATGAGTCCAGATATTCCCAGTCTCTGTGTGGATCCTGAAAATGCTCCCAAAGCAAGCACGGAACGAGGGCATGGGAGGCCGGTGACCGTGCAGGAGGTAGTCGTTGTCTTTTAGCCACTCTGGCAGGACGTGAAAGGGAATGACCCTCCAACGGCCCTCCCAGACCTGCAGAACAGAGATACGGCATTACCGCTTTGTTGCCATGCCCTTCCAAACCTGTATGACTCTATGATATTTTGAAGAATGTTTCAAGTGTTTATGCTCATAGAATGGAACTCAATGGGGTCCAAAACAACATTGAACCCCATTGACTTTTACTGTATAGACAACAACAACAACATAGTCAACAACAACAAAAAAGCAAGTCATACAGGTTTGTGAATGACATGACGGTGAGTAAATGACGACAAGTTTAATTTTTGGGGGAGAACTATCCGTTTAAATTTCTGTTTAAGATTTAAAGGGGTTGTGTTTGATGATCACACCTTATGCACAAACTCCTCCATCTTCTCCATTGCATGGTGAGCCTGAAGTGGTAGCGTCAGAACCTCTCCGGCTTCTTCATCCTCCTCTTCATCATCAGCAAGAGCACTTGCTCCCTGTGGACACAATCAGAGCTCAAAATGAGCCTGCAACACTTTCTGCTGGCAGTGAAAATGAAAGACTCTGTAATGCATTCAGATTAATAATTGCGTGGCTTGCCTCTGACTGGAGTCCTTTGGCTCCTATGGGGCCATTCTCCTCCAGCAGGGGACCCAGCTCCATCAGCTCCACGTCGGCTGGGACGTGGCATTCCTCAGTGACCCTGCAGTCCGCATGACTGGCAGACCTGATTTGTCCTGACATAAGTAGACTGCCCTGTGACTCGACCCAGACCTCTGAAGCCTACACTTCAGTTCACTGTGGGCCAAAAGTAATACATTCAATTAAAACAAAACTTCACTGGCAAAGTCAAGTCATGACAATACCAGTGACCCGAAACAATAACAGAGACTGCTTACCTCTGGCAGGTGCTTTGAACACATACAGGTCTAAACCAGCCTGCTGATGTTTGCCTCTCTATGAAATTGCATTCAATCTTAGAGGGGAAAAAACAAACAAAAACCACTTGGCATGATTATCTCAGTTCAAAATACTGGCTGTGTTTCAACTATTATAATTTGTGTTTTTTCAAACTTTTTCACTACCATGTACTGACTCACTTTTATTATTCATTGAAATGTTCATAGAGTTCAACAGTTGGGTTCCCAAAATAAAATTAAAAATCCTATTCATTTTTGTATATGGGGGAATTGATTTTAAAATGTTAACTTACAAACCTTTGGAAGTTGTTAATCGATTGGTTTATGCTTTTGTTGAAGCCATCAGTCTGAATTATTTAGGTTATCTTATTTTTATCAGAATTTTTTGAAAATTTATTGTTTAACAGAGGTAAACTCTTCTTCCAGGAGAAAAACTATGTTACCCCTAATTCTGCAAAGAAATGTCCACCAATCAGAGAATTGTTACAAGCAAATAGTGGCAAAAAACAATACTTTAGTGAATCCTAAATGATGTAATTGAGTCAGTCTCTGTACGCCCTCAAACTTCTTAAATATTTGAATAATAAATAACCATATTCTACAATAAACGTAAACTATATTGTTTCTATATAGATATTTAATAATAGTTTTATATTTAACTCAATTGCCATTTGTAATGCTTATGGGATTGTAGTAGTCCATTTTACTCTTAAAACGAAATTCTGAACGAGACCTCTTGTTCGTGAATGTGTGATAATGACTGATAGATGATGTACTCATGAGATAAGGACATTGTTGAAAATCTTAATTAGGCTATAATTGTTGTCTTTTTCTTGATAATAATAACGAAAGAATTGTAGAAAAGCACATTTGTATACAGCAGAATAACACGTATAAACGACTAGGTGTTGTTTGAGTAAACGAGGACTCATACACTCATCCGACAACATGCGGAAACAGACACTGAACGAATCCGTTTTTTTGTGGTATGATTTAAAAGATTCGAGTCACGGTGATGAATCAAAATCCTTACCACTAATTCGAATCGAACGTTGGAACGCATGTCGTATTTGATTCCAAATACGTCTAACTAGATATGCAGCTCAGTGGGTTTCAAATCAAACCCGTTATAACGGACAAACATCTGTGTATGAAGTGTCATCATACAGCTCATACCTATGACTAACGGTATTAGCCTGCTGGCTAACAAGGGGCTTTAAATTAGAGGACGAGCAGCCAAAACACCGGCACACGTCATGATCAACACTTACAAAATCATCATACATAACATAGCAACAATGCTACAACAACAACTATACTATATTATTCGCAAAAATGCCCCTAACAACGATTAATTAGTACGAAAGTAAGCGCTTTAAAAAACCCAAAGATGGTATATTAGAGCAGGTTAGCATTGAGACACAGAAACCGCTACGCACCGCTAAACTACTGTGTCTGGATGCGTCTACAACAATATATGAATCACATTTTTGCCTGTGCTTTGAAATAATGATACATTTTATCGTGCAGACGGTTACCTGATTTCCAGAACTGCTGTTAAAGAAATTAGATCTCTTCCGGATGGCCACCAAACACCAGCAGGATGGAGAAAAAAAAGAGTTGAAAGCTGCTGTGTGCAATACGGCGAGTTCAAACTGGCTCTGTTGTCTTTGAAATAACACCGCGGCGGCGCCTCCTGCTGGTGAAAGACGGTCCCGCAAGGTATTTGTAAACCCCCCACATCGCTATTTAAGGGCACTAACCCATTTATTTGGTGGTTCTTGTGAATGCTTCCACATTTACAGCTGTAATCTCCAGCAGATGATTTATTTTATTGTTAAATACCTGGTAGTGAAGGTTGAACTTGAACTTCAGTCTGAGGACTACACAGAAAATACTGAAGCGTTTTACTACACTGCAGCAGCATCTTTGTGTTATGGTCACATTTATATGGCACGTGCTGGCAGCCTTTAGAAAGATTTTATTTTTAAAAACCGAGATGGAGTATTTTTGTTAAATCAGCTGGCCTTCGCTGCCAATCTCCTATAATCCTCAATCCTCATCCGTTTTTATAATCTCTTTCAATGTAAAAGTGAGCATCCCACAACCAACACATAAATAAAATACTCAAATTTGGACATGTAATGCTGAGGGGAAAAAACAAAAGATGCCAGTGAAAACACTTTAATTTAGCATTTCTAAATTGCTTGCCTTTAGTGCATTTTGTATAAAACAATAGCATTGCTTTTTAAATTCAAACATAGTTAACATAACAGATAAACATATGGAGTGCAACATGCATACAAAAATACTCCAGTGACAGCAAATGCATCTGATATCAATGTACACATACATCAAATATGAATGCCACTGTCAGTCAAGTCACATAGGCACATAAATATAATATTCAGCAATAAATTCAGCAAGCAGGTGTCTTAACACACTGGTGCCTTTTCAAGTGCATTAGATAGGGGCTTTTTTGTAGTATCAGCATCTTATCGTGAGCTTTTAGAGCACAACAAACCACACAGGTGAATATAAAGCCTGATGACACAGCAGATCATCATTGTATCATGTTATATAATTAAGGTTTTTTATAATGAAGAACCAATTACCTCTGGACAGGCTAGCATTTAAACATGTAATATGCATTATATACTGTCCAATTTGCTATATAAGATCAGATTTGTAATACCATTTTTGCTTAAACACTATATCGCACAACTCAAGTATCTGTATCTTTGGAGTAATTAGTGGTCTGGGCCCTGAACATCGAGAACGGTCTAATAGACAAAGCGTTGGCTCTGCCGGTAGCCCAGTTTGTCCAGGTTGGGATTACAGGCAAACTGGATCATGGGAGGAGGACCGCACATGAGGATCATAGAGTCATCACCGGGTGGAGGCAGGTGCTCCTGAATCATCTCAGCATTGATGAAGCCCTGACTGTACTCCCAATCTGCAGACAAGTAAACACAGGTACACTTTCAAAGGAAGACCATATATGAAGAATAAAGTTAAAAGATAGTCTAATAAACGTCCCACGTGCTTAAAAATTGCACTCTGTGTGTTCATTGTTGGTTTCATATGGTTTGAAAAACTGGTTTTATGACCCAAATGAAATATCAAAACGAATTTTAATTGAGAAATGAAAAACATACTCATCATAGAAGCTAATTTATTCAAGTATGTATCATTGTACGTATAATTTTAATTTTTAATGTATTTGTAAATAAGTTAATCGGTCCAGACAAAACTAAATCATGTCATTGACCCACATACTGTACACTACCATTCAAAAGTTTGGAGTCTGTAAGATGTTTTTATTTGAGAAGAGATTTACTTTTATATTCAGTAAGGATGCGATAAATGGATCAAAAGTGAGTGACAGTAAATAAACTTATAATGTTACAAAATATTCTATTTCAGATAATTGCTTTTGAACTTTCTATTCGTCAAAGAATTCGGAAAAAAAGTATGACTATTTCCACAAAATTCTTAAACAGCACTACTTTAAAGATTTTTTTAAATTAGATTTTAAAACGGATTAAAATAGAAAACAGTTATTGTAATAAGATTCCACTATATTACTGTTTTTATTGTATTTTTAATCAAATAAATGCATGCAGCTTTGGTGAGCATGACACTTCTTTCATAAACATAGAAAAAAAAAAAAAACGTACCGACCCCAAACTTTTGAAAGGTAGTGTAAATCAAGCTTTACCATCTTGTGGTTATGTATAAAGTCTTATACCTTCAGGAGCTCTGTCCACCGTGAACCAGAGTTTGACGCGATCCGGATGTCTCGCCTGAACCTCCTCCAGCTCATCCTTCAGCAGAATGTCCTTCTCAGTCTGGAAGGCAGACGAGAAGTAAACTGATTCAGTTTATCAGCTTAATCTCTTTGAACATACTTTTTATGTAATATTATGGTTACGAACAAAACATTCCATCATACTCTTAAAGGGATAGTTCACACAAAATGAAAATTCTGTCATTATAAATTCAGAACGATCCCTTTAATTATATCGCTTTAATGGAACACCAACCTGGTTGGCAAACAGCAGGCTGCATGTAGTTGTGTCATTTGGGTTCTTGATGATGTCACGAATCAGCTGCAACATCGGTGTAATGCCTACAAAGGGAGGAGGACAAATTATTCTAGTGATCATATGGCTTCATTATGACTAAAAATGAGGAGAAAGACACCGTACCTGTTCCACCAGCTATAAGACCCAACGTTTTTACAGTCTTGGTCTCGGCAGGGGCCTTCTTCTCGGCCTGTATAGTGAACTGACCTGTTGGGTGGAGATGTAGGTGTAAGGTGTGACTGTGTAAATACATGCATCTAAATTCAGGTCAAATATTGATAGTAAATATGCTGTCAGACCTTCCCCCTTGTACTCCAGCAAACCTCCTGGTCCTCTGAAGTCAATCACATCTCCGATCCTCAAACTCTCCAGGTACTGGGACATCTTTCCCCCTTCGGGGAACTTTGGGTGCACATTCCTAAAATAAATCTGCAGAGTAAAATATGTCAGCTCTATAAAAATATTTAAAACCCCAAAGGCTTGTACAAGAAATATAGACCAAGAGAACCTTCACAACTAGGTCAACGAATCCTTTGTCATCATCACTGGACACTGGTGTGTAAGGACGCACAATTAAATTACCATCAATCCTGGCAGAGAGATAAACATGCTTGCCTTGAGAGAGAACGACAGGGAGAAAGAGTGCTTTACTATTAATAGTCGATACACACCCCAGTCTGCTCATCAAGTTCTTGTTTACACCAGGTAACATCCATATCAGATGATCCGATCACAAACGGAGACAAACTACGGTTTACATCTGGTAACGTGCCTCAAATGAGTCTCTGGTTTTGTGTGCATGTTAAAGTGCAAAAAGGTAATATTTTATAAAATATACACATACACGCTTTTTATTATAATTTATTACTATTGTAATTGTTTTCATTATGCTCACTATGCCTGCAAAGAGTCAGTAAAAAGACAACATGTTTCCAATTTAAAATAACTGACGGTTTTCTATTTTAATATATTTTGAAATGTAATTTATTCCTGTGATGACAAAGCTGAATTTTCAGCAATATTACCACAGTCTTCAGTGCCACATGCAACATTCTAATATGCTGATTTGGTCAAGAAACATTTCTTATTATTATCAATGTTGAAAACAGTTTTGTTTTTTTAAACCGTGATACACATTTTTTTTCCGGATTCTTTGATGAAATTAAAGCTCAAAAGAACAGCATTTATTTGAGATAGAAATCTTTTGTAACATTATAAATGTATTTACTGTCCCTTTCGATCAATTTAACCCTCTGGTGCTTTTCGGTCATTTTTGGCAAAAAATGTTACGTTTTGATTTATTTTTTTAAATGATCCTGAAAAAAATTATCACACTTGTGCTCCTCAAGGTCAATGGGAGACAAATTTCGAGTGGAAACTTTTGGTACTGCGGCCAAACAAAATCTCACTGAAAGCTCATTTTTATAGATAAAGCACTAATTTGGAACACAACTTGATTAGATTTATGGTTTTGATTTTCTTGCAGTTTTAGAATAAAACAGGTTTTTGAAAATATACATTTCATAAAAAAAAATTTAATAGCATCTTTGTGCATTTTTCATAACAATAAACATACAATTCTGTACCTTTTCATAAGTTCACTTTTAAAAACTTTTTACACTTCAGCAATCATTTTCCAAGTGTTGTCTTTGAAAAGAGATCAAACTTAAGTATGTGCTCCAAAGCATCAAAGATTTACGTCAGTTTAAGTTGGAAATTAAATTTTCAGAAAAAGCTCAAAAAGTGAATAAATGGATCATAACTACAGCATAAATATAATTTAGTACCATAAAATCCCATAAAAATACAAAATATTAAATAAAAAACATTATCAAACTAAAATACAGTACATTCATCTCATTGAAATAAATAAAGGGTGATTTTTGACCGCCACGAGATGAGCACCAGAGTTAATGCATTCTTGCTGAATAAAAGTTTTAATTTCTTTCAAAAAATAAAAAAACTATTTTGTCAAGTACCTGTATTAAAGTATTGACTCTGAATGTGCATACATCACATGATAAGTGGCATGGGCATTGATACTAAGAATACTAAAGAAAACCACATAACCAGTAAAGGTGAAAAAAATCCTGTATTAGTGCAAAGGTTGACTGACATGCAAGCAGGGCGTCCTTCGCTGTTGTCTGGGACACATTAGTACGGATTAGCATTTTCACAACAAATGCAACATGATAAGATAAAGATAAAAGATAAAATATACTTTAATGTCCCCCAGAGGGGAAATTTGTCTTGGGCAACAAACAATCACTGCGACACACTTACAACAAACCGCATAAAATATACACTAAGTATAGACAATACAAACATGCAACATGCCTCATTACATGTTTGTATTGTCTATACTTAGTGTATATTTTATGCGGTTTGTATATTTAACATGGTTTGTGTTTCTAACTGGATCAAGCTAATTCTTGTACCCCATTTACACCTGTATTTAGCACAGCCAGGTATAAACATCGTTCAACTGTCTGTGATTACTCTCAAGCAAATGGACATGTGTAAACAAGCTGCTTTTCAAACCCTAATCTCATTTATCATTTAACACACTTCTTATCCAAAGCAGCCAGACACAGTCTACATGATAGGACAGGTGTGGGATTTCAGCATGCTTCAGACCAAACCCTGCAACCTTTGTATTAGCAGCAGAGAAACAATCGACCCACTACCTTCTCACGGTTAACACCAAAGTCCTAATAAAGACTACTTACCTACTGGTAATCCCAAAACATGCTCTGGGCTAGGCAGGACGAACCGAAACCTGCGGGTATCATGACTTATGATCTGTATGAAAAGAGTAAAGTTTTTATTTTGTCAACAGCATCTTGTCAGTACCACAGATATAAATTTGTATCCCATTGAAATAAAGAGACAGGGCAAATACCTCCTTGTCTACAAGTCTCAATTTGTATTTTTCAGAGGGATCAATCAGGGTAATTTGTGGTTTCCTTTTCCGGTTCAAGAAATAATAACCCAGCACACCTGCTGTAGAGACCAGTACCACTCCAACGGTCACTGCTACTGTAGTGGACTGAAATACAGATTAGTGCATATTACAGGGTTCCTGCACACTTTTGAAAGTCAAATTTAAGGCTTTTTAAGACCTTAAGAAATCAAAATTAATACCGTACATTAGGGCTGTGCAGTATTGACAAATATATCTTGATATTTTCAACGTTTTGTTGATAATAATTAGATGATATTTTACTGATTGTGTTTTTGTGCTGGTGCCATGGCTGGTTTAGGTCTGTTGTTGACAGCTGACTCACGAAGATATTTATATTTTTCATATTCTATGCAGTGGTCGGTTCACAGCAGTGACAGAAATTAATATTTTGATTAAGGGGCAATATTTGCCACCTTAAATTGATTTTTTCAGGGGCATTTTCACCTATATGGACATTTTTTCTAAACTTATTTAGAGTTATGCATCACCTTTAATGTCAAATACTATCATTCAAATTAAATTATACAGTAATTATACAATAATACTTAATTATATAATAATCATACAGTACCACTGTTACCAGTCAAATTAAATAATGCAATCAAAATCCATCTTTGCAGTGCAGAGGTGACACAGAAGTGGCATCAGAAGTGGCATTAATATATTTACACTCCATTTACAACTGCATAAATAAAGCTATGAGATATATATTTTTAAATCAATATTCAATATTTAAATATGAAATGATTTCTAATTTTAACATTTTATTTAAAGGGTACTTTAAATATGAAACCGCAGCGGCAAATAAATCACTGTCTTAATAAGTGAGTTGAGGGAGTCATTCATTCAACCGATTCGTTCAAACGGCTGATTCATTCGGAAAAAAGCAAGTGATTCGTTCAAAACGCGGATTTCAGTCAAGAAATCATCGCTGTCGGTTGCATTGAGACTCTGCTACGGTTTCATTTTGAAATTATAGTCGGCGAAATAAAGGGAAAACAAACAATATTGACAATATTGTGTCTAAAAAGTAGTTTCAATGTTAACTTATTGTTAATTTAACAGTTGTATAACAAATATCACACTTGGAATCGTGCACGGGAAAACGGCACTCTTTCTGATGTGATATTCTAATATAAGAACATAATATGATATAAATATAAGACAAAAACTAATTTGGGGACATAACAGTTACACTGCACACATCACGCAGTGAAAGCACGAGACAAATGCGATGTCAGCTCGCAGTGCCTCGTACATTGTTAAAACAATGATTACAATATCATAATAGACAATACACATCGCACACCATACGCACATAAAGAATGAACTTACAACTGAACTGACATTTACGACCTTTCTTCTCTTTCTCTCCTCTCGCGTGCAGGAGACAGTTATGCTGCCGCGACTCGCGAGTGACGCGAAATGTCACGTGAACTAGCAAATCCACAAAGATAGAATAATAAATAAAAAAATACGTACGCTAATTAGATAGTTTTAATTTGGAAAGCTTTTAGATATGTCTAAGTCAAAGTGTCATCTAAAATGTAAGACCTTTCATAAGTAAAAATAAGACTTTATAAGACTTTTTTATGGTCTTAAATTTAAAAAATCTAATTTAAGACTTTTTAAGACTTTTTAAGGATCCGCGGGAACCCTGATATTAACAAGGTATAACAGAAAATAATCAAATTATTAATAAAAGCTAAAAATGCATTCATTGGTTGATTCACAGTACACACAACAGAAGTGTGTAACGGTTTCAAATGCATCAATGAATCATCTGTTTTTCCTAGAATAAACTCTGACGTTTCTGCTTTGGTATCCCATTTCTAGAAGAACTGTCTGATTCGGTTTCCTACTGGACTGGACCAAAATGTAAGTTAAATGCAATTGACTGAATAGCACATCTTCAGTTTTGTGGCATGACTCGTCAATATGCTGTGTTGATAAATAGGAAAGCAGCAATGTTGTGCGAAACAAACTTGGTGGCATTCCAAAGCAGTAACATGGCACGCATTTCCTCTGAATGATAGTAAATAACTGCAATTCATCTTTAGTGTACTTCTCCAAAGCTTTATGACTTACCATCGCGTAACCCATGACGAGTGATCTACTTCTTCAAGGAGATTGAGAATAAACCTTCAAACTAAACATTCGTCGACACACCTATGAATACGCAGGCGGAGAGCTCAGAGTTTGAGGCAAACAACGCTGCGCAACTATTGCGCATAATAAAACGTTTCATACAACGCATTCCGTTCTGCGTAATCCCATCCCCATTACAACACTATCTAATGTCTATGGTAGGCGTCTCTCAGTAGCCGGAAACACATCAAACAATAAATAAAAGTCCTCCAATCTCCATTTGTCCATAAATTCACATAACTTTATTTAGAAAATTAAATGTTTAAAAATAAAGTGCAAATATTAAAGGTCCTCCACTTAATTTTTGCATAGAAATGTAATATATTGATTCATACAAATTAAAAATTAAAAAAGTGAATTAAATTCCCAGAAATGCAAGGTACTTTATTTATTCATTCAGATGTATATATAAAACTCACAAATTCAAAAATGTGAAAGCAATTTCCTGAAGAATTAATACGGATTGTTATCTTAATGTTCAAAGCACCGTAATTTTAAGATAACAGGGTCCTTTTGAGTTTTTGAGATCCCAGGGGCCTTACATACATTGGTGTCCCTTATATATTCATTTATGCACAAGCTATTATCTTTTTTACGTAATTGCGGACATTGAAGTGAAGCTGATTTGATGTCTCTGAAAATATCTCCATTGCCAGAGCCTTTGTCTCTTCTGATCCATTCCAAAGGGCCCGATAAACAGGTAGTGTGTACTTTTGTTTCCCCTGTAATCAAAACATGAAAAATCGATCTCTATTCATACAATTTATCATTTTATTAGTCCAAAGAGCTGAATGAATTTTAAATAATGTAAAGATTCTAACCTGGCTTGTGAGGAAATTGCGAATATGTTGGAATCCTGGTTTATGTTGGTTCTTTGCAACAATCTGGGCCCATCGCAATTTCAGCTCAGAATTGTTGGACTCAGTAATATGCAAGTAGCACTCCTCTAACTTCTTTATGTTACCTGTTAATATGGGAATACTTATTTATTTTACAATCTACTTAAAATACTTAAACATTCATCCAAAAACACAATGAGTTATTTGCACCATCTGGAAGGGGTGAATTCTCAATGATCTTGTCCAAGAAGTAGACAGTTTGGTAGGTCTTCCATGGTTTTATATCAGTTTTGTTGATGGACTTTAAGTCCGGGTTATGGTTAACCCACATTTCAGCTAACAGCTCTGCTGGTTTCATCAGTGTCTGACCAGCAGAGAGATCAGGGACATATGGAGGCCAACCAGGGACATTGAGCCAGCTGTCAAAATCCAGACCTAACAAAGCAAATGAGAACAAAAAAGCTGAAGACAAAAGGCCGTCAGCCCAAACAGTATAGATTCAGACTATCCTTTGTGATTTTATAACAAAGAAATGCTACTAATGGTCTTTTTCTGCACCCTCAATTTTGTGGACATTCTTCTCTTTCAGGTCTGGGAAATACTCCAGGTAGAACTCCAATGCATCCTCCGCCAACACACTTCTGAACTTGAACTTTTCCACATAAGCCTTGAAGAGACACAATTGCTGTTTTCTCATATCTACAAATATTCATTCATATATACTGCCAATCAAAAGTTTAGGTCAGTAAGATAAAAAAAAAGAAGAGATTACTACTTTTATTCAGCAAGGACGCATTAACAAAAAAAGATTTTTAACAGTGTTACAAAAAATCAATTTAAAGGTCTTTAGAACTTTCTATTAATTAAAGAATCCAGAAAAAAATGATCATGGTTTCCACAAAAATATTAAGCAGCACAACAATTTCCAACATTTTTAATAAGAAATATTTCTTGAGCACCAAATGATTAATGATCCTTCATATGATTTCTATTGGTAACTAAAACTATTAAAACATTTTTGTTAAGTTGTAATAAAATATTAGATGATAAACTTCAACAAAATGAAAATTAGAAATGCCTACCTTGTTGAACTGGTAATAATAATAATCATAATAATAAAACTAAATCTGAAATAAAAAAAATACACCCAAGTAGAAATATTTAAAAAGAACAAAAACTAATACAACTGACAAAATTACTAAAATTAAAATAAAAACTTAAATAAATAAAAGCTAATTCAAAATAAAATAAAACTAAAACAGTATATAAATAAAATAATTCACTGAAGACTGGAATAATGGCTGCTGATAATTCAGCTTTGCCATTACAGGAATAAATTATATATTTTTTTAAATACGGAGGATCTTCGGATTCGATTTCTGTTAAATTAATCTGTACCCTATATTTTTCTCCAATAAAAAAAAATATATATATAAAAAAATATATTTTTAAATTGTAATTAATATTTCAAAATAATTGGGGTTTTTTGGTTCCAAAACAAATGCAGCCTTGGTGAGCATAAGAGACTTATAATGACCTTACTGAAAATCTTACTGACCCCAAACTTTCAAACAGTAGTATGTATATATACATTATATATATTTTTGTATTATTATTTATTATTAAAAACATTTTCTGTAGGCTTATTGTTCCAGTAACCTTGAGGAATGCGTCAAAGCGTGACTGATCTCCTGTGAGGTGGGCCAGGTAGGAAACAAAGCAGAAGCCTTTCTCATAGGGCGTTTCATTATAGGTGTCATCAGGATCGACACCTATGTAAAAAACACACAGAGGCAGTAACAACCTATTCTTCACAATTGTGATAAATAATGACCAAGTAGTATGAGACTGCTATCTTTATTCAGCTTACATCGTCAAATTAAATAGACAATAAACTAGTGGTGACCTACAGTACCTGGTTCGATCTTAACCCGGAGTTTATTGAGAGGATGGTCCTCTCCAGTGTTGTCCATGTGCTGACGTAGAAGAGCTTTACCAGTTGCCGCCTCCAGACATGTATAAGCCTCTCCTGCGAAAGAAATGGCACCCTTTAATGAACTCTTTACAAGTGAAACACTTTAAAGGTGACCTATAATTCAAAATTGAATTTACCTTGGTATAGTCAAATAACAAGAGTTCAGTGCATGGACATGACATAGAGTGAATCTCAAACTGGACTGTTTTTGCGTTCTCATTTAATTCACGTTTATGAAAAACACCCCTGAAAAACGGTCGGTTCTCCACACAATACCGACTGTGACGCAATAGTCGGGATCATTAATATGTACGCCTCCAAATATTTGCATAATGCCAGCCCTCAATGCCAGGCGGAACTGCGCAGCCGAAGCATGGCAGTTGCTCAGTGTGGATGTACACATGAACACAAAAGTATTTTTTAGTTCCTTCATCTGAGCCTCTGAAGAAACAATGGGGTAATTTTATTTTCTCTGGAAATTTCCAAACATTTCACCGACTGTTTCCTCAACTTGGGCCAATACAGAGCTGGCCTCGGATCGAGCTACCAAGCAACACTTTCTGATGTGTAATTGTTCAAGTTCAGACAGGTAATCTTTCTCTCAAAATCGTTCAATACTGTTTATGCATCAGTAAGTCAAGCCAGTGACTAAAATATCAGCTTCACATCGTTTCTTTTAGTAGGATGAAAATAATCGTATTTAAATTGTGAACAAATTATATACAGAAAGCGATCAAAGAACAATCTTTCCACACAGCGCGAGTTTATCTGGACACTTGCCAAACTCGTTAAGAAATCAATGTTACACTGCACAACGATGCTCTTACTGTATTTACATCATCGTGTTTGCATTGGTGAAAGCCTTAGAGAGAGTGTAGAAACTGCTTTGCAATCATAAGATCTTCATTCTCACGATCAACACATTGTCATCTGCTCAATGCTCATCACGGCAACATTTTATGTGATGGGAATAGATCTAAATACTTTAAAAACATCTCACAATTCGTTAATCTCGATAGCTGTTATAGTAAAAACGTATACTAGCAGTAGTAAAAGTATTCGGGAGAGAGTTTCACATGTAATGCGTTGCTATTTCATATGCAAGCCTGTCAGCCAATCACAGCAGTGGCCGCGGTTACACTGAATCCCACAGCAGACACGCCCCTTCAAACAGAGTGTTCAAATCAGAGGCTAAAAGCAGGCTAGGAAAAATGCCATTTATTTCTAAATTATGATTATTTTTTATCTAAAAAACATACTAACATTATAAGGGTAACCCAGGAAACATTATAAAATAATTAAAAAAAACATTCTAGGGCACCTTTAAGGGGTCAAATAATGTAAAGCATACCATACAGCTCCTTGCAAACTCTGCGTTGAGCGTACATCGTGAAGCCCTCGTTCAGCCAGAAATCACCCCAGGTGGCGTTGGTGACGAGGTTTCCAAACCAGCTGTGACAGATCTCGTGTACAATGACATCAGCAAGAGAGCGATCGCCGGCCAGCAGACAGGGCGTGACAAAAGTCAGGCAGGGGTTCTCCATCCCACCGAAAGGGAAGGATGGAGGCATGAACAGCACATCATATCTACACAAGTACAACAAATAAAGACACACATCTATTATAATATAGTTTACTGAATAAACGTTCTCGTCAGATTCTATAAAGCCACTTTGGATCAATCAGAATAGAGTGGTGCAGGGATGACGTATTTTTGTAGGCCAAAACCAGTAAACGAGTTAGCATTTTTGCACTTCCGGTTCCATCGTCCTGAGGTCAATGGGTTTTTTGAATGGGTTTTTGGTTAAATGGTTGAAATAAGGTCTGCGGTGAACACATGCTCAAGATATTTTCATGTTTTATTTACAATACAAAAAATTCATCAGTAATACCCTCTTGTGATTTTATTTGTTTTTACTTGTCTTGTAAAAGGCAGTTGCTTAAAAGAGACATTATACATCATCCGCCGAACTGGTACTCTACTCACTAGTCCGCTTTCACAGCCCCATTGTGTTTATAATCACGCTCTTGACTATTAGAACTCAAACTTTCAGGTAAAATGTTTTAAAACAAAGACTGATGCTGCGTCCGAAATCGAATACTTCTCTGCTATATACTAAGCGGAAAAAAAGTATGCCAAAAGAATACCGTAAAACTTCAAATAATAGCCCGGGCTTTTATTTTCCCAAATCGTCGAACTGCACCGGCTAGTATTTGAGACAGGCGTCTATATGAGACAGGCCTTTATAATTTAGTGTTGAGATGTTGTTCATTGAGTGTAGGCCTAGAGTCTCTAATCTCTAAAAAATCTCCAAATGCTCCACGTGAAACTGCGGTCTTCCGACCTTTTATTATCGTGTCAATTGATTTTGATTAATATGCGCGAGGGAGAGAGAGCAGGACAGCGCTCGTGTTGTTTGAAGACGTGAGTGCGAGCGCGCGGCCGGGGCGCTCTCTCTGCTCGTTATGCGCCCTGTCAAGCGCAGCAGTCATTCTATTCTACATCACTCACCGATCAAAAAAGGCTTTGGCAGGACACAAATTTGCTTTGGCGGCCGCCAAAAACCGGACGATCTGACGGGTTCTGTCCGAAATCACCCACTATACCCTTAAATAGGGCACTTTTGTGAGGTAAAAAAACCATCTGGTGCACTCAGTGTCCGAATTCACTCACTCGTTTTCATTCACTCCTTCAAGTGGACTATATTAGTGGAGTAATGTAGGGAATAGTGTATGAGGGTATAGGATGCGATTTCGAACACAGCTAAGCTTTTGTTTTGACTTCTGCGATTGTATTTACACTTCAGTTGTGAAGATTAATCCGATGATCAAAATGTGTACGAATCATAAGCTTTTGTTAGTCACAGACCTTATTTTCTGCAATAATCTAAAGGCCAATGGGAAAAATCCTATTTTTTTCAGGCTGATGCTAACTTCCGGGTTGGCCTACAAAAATATGTCATCCCTGCACCACTCTGTTAGAAAGGGGTTCAAAAAAAGTATCTCCCACCTTCCCCAAACATAGGGTCCAAACAGTTTCTCTCCCACAGACAGGAACTCTTCGATCACGTTATCATACTCTTGCTTGGCTGCCTGCAGTAAACAAGGCTCGGTCCAAACACGCGTCCTGAAAATTGTGTTAAAAATCAGAAATGTTTAACATAATAATAATTATTACTATCTAAATGTTTACTTTATAAGAGGGTCTACTTATAATGTTAGTAAAAGTAATTTTGCACCATAAACACAGTTTTCCATGAACATTTTCAGCCACTGCAGTTTAGTTTCAATAAATGATTTGGGGGGAGAAAGTTACAGTATGTTTTTATAGCAAAATGAGCTCTTATCTCAGGAGAGCAATAAGAACTGTATTCCTTGTGATGTGATCCCTTTGTGGTAAAGGATTTGGGATGTTTTTACCTGGGTCCCACCTCGGCAGACTGCAGGTCTCCTACTGCCAGTGCTACCAGGTAAGAGGGAATGGGATGCTCCATAGTGAACAGGAAGGCGCTGTCTGCTTTCCTCTGCTCCCATTTACTAGCGCTCATAACTGCTGTGAAGCCATCAGGCACCTGATAAGAAGAGATAGGACCATCAAAGTAAGAAACTACCGTGTTTATGAGACAGTACAAAGGGCAATGATAAGAAAGAAACTCTGAGCCTTATAATGTAAGCTAGAGAAAACCCTTGTGCTCTTTTTTAAAAGAAGTCACTCACCAAAGCTGCATTTATTTGATCAAGATCACAATTAAAACAGTAATATTGTGAAATATTACTACAATTTAAAATAACATAACTATTTTAAAATAATTTAAAATGTTTTTCTGTGATGCAAAGCTGAATTTTCAGTATCATTACTCCAGTCTTCAGTATCACATGATCCTTCAGAAATCATTCTAATATGCTGATTTGACGCTCTAGGAACATTTCTTATTGTTGAAAATATTATTTTGGAAACCATAAACATTTTTTTTTTCAGGTTTCTTTGATGAAAAATAAAGTTCAAAAGATCAGCATTTATTTGAAATTGAAATCTTTTGTAACACTATACATGTTTTTGCTGTCACTTTTGATCAACTTGAAACTACTAATTTATATTATATATTAAAAAAATAGAGCCCAATTTTTCAATCCAATCAATTCCTGATTAATAAAATCAAGTGGAATAATGGAATCCATTTCCTAATTGACTCAAATTACGTCTTTACGTCTATATACCCATACTCTCTTTCTACCTGTAAATTCGACTGGTCCAATGGCCTCACCTGAACTGCTGCTGAGTAGGTGCTCTTGACTGCAGGAGTATCAAAGCAAGGGAAGAAAGAGCGGTTGAGAACAGCCTGGCCTTGAGTGAAAACATAAGGCTTGAGCTTTCCCGCAGTCTGCTCTGGTTCCAGCCAACACACCTAAAAGAAGATACATGCGTTTGGTGAAACATTACCTGCACAACAGCCGAGTAAGTGCTCTTTGTCGTGGGTGTATGGAAGCCGGGAAACAGGCTGCGGTTCAGGACAGGGAACCCAGATGTGTACAAGAATGGCAGTGTCTTCTCAGCCGTCTGCACTGGTTCCAGCCATGACATCTACAGAGAAGTATGGAAGCTTGTTTCCACCACGGAATAAAAAACAATAAACGTAATAACGTTGTTATTTTACAATTCTGACTTATTTCTCAGAATTGCAAGTAGGAATGGAGTTCTTACAATTTTCTTGCAGTTGCGAACTTGTATCTCACAATCAATTCGGACTTTATAACTCGCAATTAGTTTATCTCACAACTCTAAAGGTGATGATACACAGGGCAACTTTTTGAGCAATGTTGCCGTCAATGGGCAACCAGATGAGACACAGGGCCCACGACTGATCTAAATTATCCAGATAGAAATGTATTGCCCATTTTCAATGGGAAAGTACCCAAGCAACAATCGCTCGGCAAGATTGCCCAGCAACATTGCTCAAAAAGTTGCCCTGTGTATCATCACCTTTAGGGGGGAAAAGTCAGTCACAACTCCAAGTTTATAACTCACAATTCTGACTTTTTTTTCTCGGAATCGTCAGATTTTTTCATTCAGAATTGCGATAAACTCGCCATTTAAAACAGTAATTGAGAGTTTATATCTCACTATTATAGGCTATATACAATCTCAACAAATTTTCCTTGCAATTTCAAGTTTATAACTCTCAATTCTGACTTTTCTCAGAATTGTGAGATACATTTTGAATTGAGAGTTATAAAGTCAGAATTGTGAGATAAAAAGTTGCAATTACTTTTTTTTTTATTCCTTGGGGGAAACAAACCACCATGCTTGCTTGCTTATACAATAAATCAATGAAATTTACCATCTGAAGGCCTAAACTGACTAAAGTGAGTCTGGAAGACTGCAAGAAGAACAGATTCAGAAAGAGAAACCAAAGTATTCTTCCTTCTAGGTCTCATGACAAGTGAATAAGTTTCAGCTTTGATATTGAAGCTCAGCTCAGGCTGTCCTGAACTTTCAAAATGGAAATGATTATGAACAAAAAATTATTAAAAGTACAGTTTTTCTTGCTTACCCCTGGTCCATCAGAAGCTGTATATTTGATTGCAAGCTGAAGTTTGTCTTCTGAGTTGAAAGGCGTGGGAAACCTCACGACGAGCGTGGTCCCATAACTGGTAAAGTCACGAATCAGAAATTCTGTGCTGGTCCAGTCACTTGCATTGCGACTGAATGTGATTTCATGCAGGGACAGAGTTGAATGAATATCTAGCTGTAACTCACTCTGACTATCCTGAATGCATTGCAGCTGTAATGTTTCGGTACCTGATATGGTTTTCTTTTCAAAATCTACTTTAAGATCGAGATGAAAATGATCTATTTTAAACTGGCGGAAACTAGAGGAGGTAGCGACGTCTTCGGCTTTGTCTGAATACAGCGTAAATGTTTTATCCATTGTCCTACTACTGGCACAAATCTACAACAATAGTTCTGACAGGCTACAGCAAAACACCGGCAAACGGTGGTCAATCTGTTCTTCGCTCAGAAACGACAAGTGAACTGTGGTAAAACCATAGGGGTCAAACAATCCTCTCGCAGGAAGACGAATATGTATAGCATGTGAACTGGATTTACGCAGCACTAGCCTGCGTTGCGTTATTGCAGCGCAGTGTTGTTTGTCATGAAGACATGGCAGTTGACCAATAAGATAAATCTGAAAAATCTCGCTGGCGCCTACAACTGAAATCCTACCAGTTAATAACTATATTATCTGTTATTCATGACACTAACCCCGTTTTTCTCAAGAGGGCGCACGAGGGCTCAGACAGTCACTCATTTGAGCCACATTCAAATCTCAGGCGGTTTTTGTCTTTTTTGGAAACATTTTAACACTCCCCATAGCCTACAGTATTTTGAATATATAAGTTCCAAGTATTGGTATCTCACATTCCAACGGAAATCCTCACCACCAATCTCTATAAAACGTTCATAATTCAGTAATCGGTGATAATCCAGTAATTACTGTGATAGGCTCATCCAAAAGAGCGGTGAGAAAAGTAACAGTTGCCGCTGCCCGTTTAATTATGTACTAACAGTTGCAGCAGCCTGGATTATATTTTTCCTCCAATGTTTAAATGGACATGTTCGGCATTTCTTTGCATTATTTAAGAAATAACACTATAGGCAAATGATACATCAAATGTAATGGTTGCCTTTTTAATTACACATTGTGTTTGCCTTCCAGATCACGATTTATAAGAATGTCGCTGTGATCATGTTACCATTATGGTGTGGTGGTGTACTAAATTACAAAGATGTTTTATTATACTATTCAGCATTTAACATCTGAAAGTTTACATTTGCCTTTAGAGAAACCTTTAAAAAAGTCTAACATACCAAACAGTAATTATTTAATCAGAACGAAGATTGATTGCATAGTGTACAAACATAATCATTTTTAAATCACAAACTTTATTGATCTTAGTATTAGCATAACCAAGAAACATAAAAATACACTTAGTAACAAATATTGTTTTTATTTCATTGTACAAAAAAATCTGTAAGTATGTTAATCTATAAAAAATCTATAAAACATTTTAAAAAATTGTCTTTCACAGTAAAACTCATTTTGGGACGAGGCATTTCATAGAAAGTGATGCCTTCTAGACATATCCCTATGTGTGTGTTTTATCGATGTTAAAAGTCTATACTTTAGTCCATTAGCTCAATAAATTATTGAATAAATATGACTCTCGTCAGAAGGGTTTCCATGGTTTCACACCTGGCTGGCAACCTCAGAGTCATCCTCATACATCCTATCTGGAGTCCCCAGATTGACCCATTTCTGGGATACCTGGAGGAGCAAAGCAAAAAAGAAACGAGGTCAGTCCATAGGGAAATCTGTTTGCATTGGTTTAACATTCTAGTAACCCTTGACTGCATGTAGTCTTAGTAGCCTAAATGAAACTGCACAATCAGCAGCTCTGTGGTGTTGACTGAAGGTGTGTCAGAAATCTGGCCAGGGTTAAACAACAGCTGGGTCTTAAATCATGGAGCTCACAGTGTGTAAGGCCGTTATGAAATGTTTTAGATTGTGTGTGCAGAATTTTGCCCCATTCTATCCCAATATTTTCTGAAATATTGAGTCAGTGTCTTAAAGCAGAGATTCACAGGACAGGAGAAACCAAAATGTTTATTAATTATTAAAGTTCCTTGGATAATAAGATATTTAAGGAGTAGTCTTCAGGTCAACCCCAGCTGCCTCTGCATTTGAAACACATGACTCTGTAAATCATTGCATGACATGCTAGAATGAAGCAAATGTGTGCCTCAGGCAGTGCTGATAGTCTCACAATCTAAATGTCTCCAAGACCAAATGACTAAATTAACCAACCAAATCATGCATCCGAAAGTTTGTGGTTTAGGATTCCTGTGGTTTCTGGTAAATTTCAAAATGAGTGAATGTGTGTCATTGCACAACCCAAGGTTCTTAATTTTTCTTGTGTCTTGAAGGCATTAGTTTTCCAACTTAAATTTATTCAACAGGGAATTTTCAATCATTTGTTCTGTGACTTGTTGGTACATGTGCACTGCATTTTCCAGGTGTCTGATTGCACATTTTTCACTGTAGTGTAAATTACCCGACTCCCACCAAAATAACACTGGCACCCACATTCTTCTTTGAAAAACAGTTTGTGTTTGGGATTCATTTAAATCAGTGGTTCTCAAATGATGTGTCGCAACTCAAAAATGTGTTTCAGACATCAGTTGGGGAGTAAAATAAGGTTAAATCCAAATAAAATTTAAAAATGCAACTAACGATATAACCTTGCATATTTGATAGCAAAAGAAACCTTTCACTTATTAATATATATATTACTAATATAATTAGCATAAAATATTCTATAATATATAAGTAAATATTTATTATTTATGTTAGGCATGTCAATCACACATCCACTGATGTTCATTTATTTATAAATCTTATTATTCAGTCTGTCATGTTATTTTTCCATATTGTTAAGCCTATACAGTTCTTATTTTTTATTTCATTGTTTGCCTTTTTTGCTTAATAAACAATTTTGATGCTGTTTTGAGGCATCAAATCTGGTTTAAATGACTAACAGTCTTCTAAATTCAAAGTGCGGTTTCTATGTGACTTTTTTTTGGTAACGGAGAACGCTACACAAGTACTTCAATTAGTAATGGATTAGAGTGAACATTATTAGGTCTTTAGGAATTATCATTTACAATGGACTGTGGTTTGATGAGTGACACCACAGCATATGCTCAAGGTGTACTGGTGTAAGATTTTATGTACGATAAAATTCAATACTTAGCAATAGGGGGAAAACAAGCTAACAAAGACACCTATTGGCTTCAGCTGGGAACATGCCAGCTATTAAAATGTTGCTTAAGGGGAAACTAAAGTTGGAATAGAGGTGCATTGGCCAAACAACTTATCTGGCTTTTTCTACACAAATAAAGGAGCTAATGGGCTGGGCCACTATCACTGTTTCCTTCCGTCCAATCGAGCTTTTGTCCCTGAGGAATGGAATGCTCACCTACATATCAAGTTCACACACTTTAGCCACCATAAGCTTGAATGGAAATAAACAGCAGAGCAACCTTGAATGCATGTTTTCCCACTAGATTGTTTTGTTAACGGGAAAGTTCATGACCGTGGGGAATGGGAAAAAGCTTTGAGTGGAATGAAAACCTGTGTGTGTCGATACAAATAAACTCAAAGTAAGCAAATGATCCCTGATGAAGTATTTGTTGCATTTACAGCAGAGTATGTGAGTGTAATGGAGTGTATAATCACACACACCGCTTTAACTCCACCCTGGGGTTTCCCTCTCCTTGCTAATTTATTGGTGTGAGTTTGCTCCATTTGACATTCTGCACCCAGTTACCGCTCTACCGTAAAGTTCTTTCAAAGTGTGTCTTTTTATACCATATATTAACTGAAATAATGTTTGCACAATTTCTCTACAGTTGTGAGATTAATGATTTAGTATGATAATATAATTGTTGTAAATTTCGAACAAATCATTGTACCCACGCCACAACTTCCATGACCTTTTCGAGTTAGATCCATTATTTTATTTCCTTGCGTGACAGGAGCATCTAATTATTTCCTTAACACCTTTTTTTTTTAATTACACAGGAAATCTGAAGTCATCCATGCTCTGCCATTAATTTTAATTGACCATTTATATTTCTGATCATGTTTCCAACGTTTTAATATTTCAAATGTTTATTTTGACCGCTAATAGTCTATCAGCATTATAAAAACATAAGGTGATTTCTTGTTGACATGCAATCGTTTTATTTATTAATATATGTCATACTAAAAATGGAGCGGTATCAGAGTGTTCTTTGAATGAGCGAGAACACACAGACACTGCTCAAACTCACATCCACTATAGAAAATAAATGAATACCTTTATTCAGTAAGGATGCATTCAATTGATCAAAAGTGACAGTAAAGACAGTTATAATGTTACAAGAGATTTCTACTCGAAGAATCCTGAAAAAAAGTCACTATTTCAACAAAAATATTAAGCAGCACAACTGTTTTCAACATTAATAATAGTAAGAAATGTTTCTTTAGCAGCAATTCAGCTTATTAGAATGATTTCTGAAGGATCATGTGACACTAAAGTTTAGTAATGATGATGAAAATTTCAGATTTGCCACCATAGGATTAAATTACACTTTAAATTAGATTAAAATAGAGAAGATATTTTAAATTGTATAATATTTCACATTATTATCGTTTTTCTGTATTTTTGATCAAATAAATGCAGCTTTGGTGAGCATAAGAAACATTTTTCAAAAACAAAAAACCTTCCCAACCCAAACTTTTGAACAGTCGTGTGCGCTGATTTATAGCATAGTGTTCTCAACCATAAACAACAAAACGACAATTATGAGTTGTGTGTGGTTTGCTATTGTGCCATTCCCTACACTAATTCCAATCAAAAGCTCTTTCACAGATGAACACCACACCTAGATCCAGTAGTGATCTCACTTTGACGCAGCAGAGCATCAAGAGAACCTTTCCCAGTTCCACAGACAGGCCTGGGCAGTGCGTAACTGATCTGCCTTTTCAGGAAATTCCTCTCTCAACAGATTGATACACGATGGCTAGGCGATACTGCGGTATTCAATTTCATACAGAGCCAAGATAGATACATATTTGGGGATTTTTTCCTTTTTGACCTCATTGCGGGTCAATACATTTTCCGCCCATTTATTCTGAGTGACTGTGAGGAACGACTATTTACCTGTTGTTCCTGGAACCTGTGGTGCTGGGAAAGCGAAAGTGGGGACTCTTGCCCAGGTGCATTTCGGATGCGGAGTGCGCCCTGCCTGTTGCGATCCAGTGAGTGAGGTCGAGGCGGTAGGAGTTGGCTGCGCTGATGCCATGATTTGAGTTCCTCTGACACCACCTGCCGCGGCAGGCCCCTGCTAGGGTGCTGAGGACACTCTCTTAGCGAAGGGGCCCGTGACAGTTTCACGTGGGCGGGTAACAACCTGCAACTTCGTGGCTGGGAGGGCAAAGCCTCACTGTAGTAGTACTCATAGTGACCATTTGAAGAATAAACAGGTGAAGGGGCCTGGTGGCTTAAGTACGACCTTCCGCTGTCCATTTCTAAGGGGTGACCCCATCCGTCCTCCACGTACCCTCTTGAAAAACTAGGTGAGGACTGGTACTGAGGGTTCTTGTAGAGGTGGGTAGGGGAGGATCTTTGTGGTATATGGCTATCGGCTAGGCTGGAATAATGATATCCGTACTGAAGTTGGTAGGGCCACGGAAGTTCCCCAGGGTGCTCCTGGCAGGGCGAGCTGGCGTAGGACTGCACCGAGTGCTCCGAGTTGCTGTCCTCAGAACTAGAGTAGTACACAGGATTTCCAACATTCAATCTTACGGGGGAGTATTCTGATGGTGGCACCACAAAGTCTGTCAACCGTCTCCTGGGGCCCCTTGAGCGCCCACGCTCCCGCTCGGGATCATACGGGTTACGTTCAGTCCTGGGAAATCTGTTAAAATGAGAAATTAATACATTTGTCAAGATTTGAGATAGCCATAATATCTATGAAACACATGATCTGAGGTGGATACAACTGTTCCAAAGATTAGGGTCAGTATGATTTTTTTTTATTATAACTTTTATTCAGCAAGAATACATTAAACTGATCAAAACTGACAGTAAAGAAAGATTCTTATTTCAAATAAATGTTGTTCTTTTGAACTTTATATTCATCAAAGAATCCTAAAAAAATCTATAATGGTTTCCACAAAATATTAAGCAGCACAATTGCTTATAACAAGAAATTATGATTTCTGACGGATCATGTGACTGAAGACTGGAGTATTGGCTGCTGAAAATTCAGCTTTGCCATCACAGGAGTAAATTACATAAATATATAAAAATAGAAAAAAGTTATTTTAAATGTATTCACAATATTACTGCTTATCTTTGATTAAATAAATGCAGCTTTGGTGAGCATAAAAAACGTTTATTTTTTAAAAACCAATAAAAATCGTACCAAACCCAAACCTTTGAACAGTAGAGTATAAAAGAGATTGAGTAAATTGTGAGCAGACCCAATGGATTGTCTCCTGCGCAGGTGCATCTCTGGAGTGGAGGGTGCGCTGCAGGACTGTGTGTGTTTCAGGGCAGCATGGGTGGGTATTTGCAGTGGTATCCCGGCCTCCGCAAGACAAACCTCAAGAGGAGGCAACGTGGGGGTAACAGCAGGACTACAGATGCATGGAAAAACAAAAACAGTTACTTTCACAATTACGAAGACAAAACAGAAACAGTACAGCTGTAGTTTCGTTATGAGTGTTCTACTGACAACAATACATGCCTTCCATAAATCAACCTTGAGATGACTTAAAGGCCATTAGAGAAGAGGAGGTGTGGTCATACCCACCCCAAAAATTACTATGTGATGTCTTAATGACCAGGTGAGTCAAAACTGCTTTTCAAAGGTCATGGATCACATGCTTTTCACATTTAATTATCGCTTTGCACTTTAAGAGATTCAAAGAATAAAAAAGATAGATATACCTGGATTTGATGCTATTAGATCTTTTATTTTTTTGATAGGGCTGGTCCAAACTAGTCTCCATCCAGGGAGAGTTTTGAATGGGGGAAGGGTCATGCTCTAAGATTGGACTCTGGCATGTGTGCAAGTCCTCCAGGGATTGTGGGGGGGTTTGATGGGAAATGGCCTCGAGGGGCTGGTAGGAGGGGCCTATAGGTGTATGAGGAGCGGGATGAGAAATGTTAATATGTGGAGGGTGAAGATCTACAGAAGGAGCAGGAGGCTCTGAAGAAAGCTGGGAAGACAGTTCCTCTGAAACATGGATGAGAGATTATATTCATTAATGGTACATGGGTAAATGACTAATAGCATGGAAAAACATTTATTTTTCAAAATAACTATATATAAAATATATATACATATAAAATATAATATATTACATTTGTATACATATATATGAAAATATATATATTATGTTTTACATTTGTATAAAATATTGTATATAATATATTTTTTTAAATATATTTTATTTACATTTAAAAAATGTTTTATTAATATTAGTTTATAAAATAAAGTCTTTTTAAATTATTCATAGTATATACATACTACAATTTCAGAAAAAAAACATGGTTTTCACTTACCCTCATCAAGCACAGCCGAGTCTGACAATGAGCTATCGTCTGAAGCGCCTTGATACAAAACATATATATATGTAAGAATAAGATGATCTTTGATGTTCAAGCTCATTACACAGTGCAAAGAAAACACAAAAAACTGAAAAAAGTGCTCATATAAATCCCTCACCTCTCTGTGCCATCATGCCAGGGCGTGGTGTGGATCGGCCGTGTTCCAGTTGCAACCTGAACACGGCTTCCTGAAGATTTTTGAGTTTCCTTTCCTCACGCTGGTACTGCTGTAGATGACTCTTCTTCACCGCCTTGCTGAGATGTTTCTCCTGACACAGCCTCTGGGCCGCCATGTATATCTGCTGCTGAAGAGCCAGATCAGCCTCAACAGAGCTCAGCTCAGAGTCCTGTGTAACATGTTAGTGATTGGTTTATGAGATTCAACCTTATTTATAGAAACAATACTGAACCTTAAGAGTATGTCTAATGACTTGGAAACAGTAATTTTTTTTAATTTTTTTTATTATCTCTGTGAATAAGTGTCTTTACCTCAGTTCTATGTAGAATGCTTGGCTCATCTAACTTAAAAGCAGCTCCAATGCGCCTGCGAATTTGAGGCGGCTTCTCTCCAGGTAACAGGGGATAGTCGGAGGACAAATGTCCTGTGAGCTCCTGAAAGAGAAGAGGGAATGAATGCTCCAATATTAAAATTCCAGCTGATAACTGCTTTTATTTTACAGCCACTAAATGGCAGATATTACATTTTAATACATAATAGATATTACATAAGAATTAAAACAGTAAAAACTAAAATCAATCTTTTAAAATGCTACAAGTGAATTTAGGTATCACAACAATATATTGCACAGTATGAAAAATGTATATTCATTTTTTAATTAGCTGAAGATTAGATTTAACATTATTATTAGTGCTTTTATAGTGCAAATATAGATGTAAAAAATAGAGGAAATGCATATAAATGGACAGTTAAATACACAATCCAAATCATGAATCGGTCAATATAGTATTGCTATATTGTGTATCCGAACAACTGATGTCTTTAAGATTGGTATTTAAATTTTATGGGGGCAGTCAAGCAGATCTGTAATTTGTCAGTGCAATTTGTAAGAATAATTACGTTAATCATACTCAAGTAAAAAAAAGAAAAAAGAAGTCACAAGCAAGTTATCAAGAACAAGCCTTTAACCAGAATTCCTGTTTCTCCAGTGTGAAACTTTTCAGCGAGTTGGGACAAGTTGTTGCTTTCAACCGCTACATTATGCAAGCCTGTTGTTGAAATATTTGGTTCTTTCCTAAGCCGTACCAAGAGCCCTACCTGCCAAACTAAACCTGCCATCTATCTTCCCCAAATTCATGCCAGCATGTGTTAGATACAATTCTCTTTGAGACAAAAACCACAAGCCCACAGCTCTTTAAAGAGCCATAATAGAGGTGAAGCCCTTCAAAAACAGATGATACACACACTAGCGTGACTTCAGACTTATTGTGACATAAAGGTGTCATCAGACACTGAAGAACACCAGAACAAGCCCCAGCAAGTGACTCCAACAGGAAACAATGATGCATTTTTGTGACTTAACATCTTACCAGGAAGACTAATACACCAAAAAGCCTCTGGGGCTGAAGATGATGAACTCTGGCGACTTGTTCACTCAGTCGATGCCATATATATATATATATATATATTTTTTTTTACATGTATTAAATACCCTGTCATGTTCTTTAGAGAGGTGAGAATGTTTTGATTATTGCTAGGAAGATTTTTATCAACACACCTTCAGAAGAAGTGGGGGAAAATAGGGCTTTGAAAACATGATGTAATCAGCGTGCATTGGAAGTCCCCTCTAATTCTCTAATTCCAATGTGAAAACTTCCTTATCTCTCTTTAGTAGTGTTTTGGTGAGTCCATATGCGTGTTTGTGAGTGTCAATGTTGACTTACGGCCTCTCTGATGCAGAGTTTCTTAAGCTCCTTTAAGCAAGTCTTCAGCCTGTCCTCCAGAGCTTGCTGCTTCAGTTTCATGACCCGAGTATGAGTTTTTACATCCTTCATCACTGTGGTGGGGCTGTCAGGCCCTACAACACATAAAACACATTCTGATAAAGAGTCTTCAAAATAATAACAGAAAATCAGCAATTATATGACAAATTCGTCTTTGTTTCAATACTAGCATAGCCCGAAAAGATGATAACTTTAAATGTTGTCTGAACTAAATCTAAATAAATAACTGAATTATGATTGGCACCACAAATATAATACCATAATCAGTGTCTGCTCACATGCACACCTCAGAAGCTGATGTAAACTTTCAGGAAACAAATACTCATCAACTGTTATATGCTCATAAATGAACAAATGAAGGTCACTGAAAACGGCTAAATGAGTGACAACAAAGAATTTATTTCTTCTGTATCTGGTGAGTGACTGCAGGCAAACGCCTCTGGGATGTCTAGAAGAGAGCTTATCTACTGAATTCTTTAACATACATTTTCAATCAATCATGTGACAGCAGCACACAGAGAAAACAATGACGAAAAAGGAAAAACGTTCACCTGCACAGAAAAAAAAGTGTTTATTAGGAGTTGTTTTGGTTTAAAAGGGTCTTTTAAAAACCTGCTATAGTGTGGTGATTGCTTCCGATTCATCCCTTACAGGTGTAATGCACATTACAATGTTCCTTTTTAGAAGTGAAAGAAGTGAAAACTAACCACTAAATTATGCATTTGAAAAATGCTTTTGATAGAAAAATACAATCAAATCAAAATAATTGTGAAATAGTATCACATTTTTAATACATTTTAAAATGTCATTTATTCATGTTATGACAAATTACTGAATTTTGAAATTTCAGCAGACATTACTCCAGTCTTCAGTGTCACATTATCCTTCAAAAGTTATTCTAATATGATGATTTGCTGCTCAAGAAACATTTCGTATTATTTATTTGAAATAGAAATCGTTTGTAAAATTAAAAACATCTTTACAAGTCACTTTTTGCCAATTGAATGCATCCATGCTGAAAAAATTATTCATTTCTTTTCCAAAAAATGAACTGTATTGTATATATAAAATCTTTTTAAAACATTTATAAAAAAAAAAGTGTTGCTTCCCAATTTTGCAAAGATTTAATCCTTCCATTGAACTATACAGAAAAAAGAAAGTCATTTAGGTTTGGAATGACATGAGGGTGAGTATATGGTGACATTTTTTGAGAACTATCCCTTTAACCTCACAAACACATACTACATAATACAGCATAAAATGTGTCATTATAGCCAAGGTGTAACTGAGACTGAACCTACCAGAATGCAGAATAACCCCACTGTCAGTATCACTGATCTCCTCTTTGCCTTCCATGACTGCTGGTCAAGTGGTCTTCGAAGTGAAGGGCTTGGTTTTCTCTTACTTCACGAGTTCCTACAAAGCAAATACATATTTTATCAGACTCATGCACACTCACCAGAGAACATGTTAGCTGTTCAAGCCAAAGTGAACTAAAACTAGTCTCGTGGAACCACTCAGCCCCTCAGCCGTGACGGGTCTCCTGACCCAGAGCCACAGGGGTCAGAGCGGATTCCAGGAGACTATTCTGACAAACAATAGTTTTCATAGGCCCACTAAAAATCACAGTCTAACTACGCCTCTCAGCTATGCGCAGTCAGCAGGAGCTTAGGGGAAGCTTTAACTAAGAGGCCATTCAAGTAAGAACTCTTCCTCCTGTATCTGAAAAATGTCCAATTTCCAGGAGAAACAAGGGCATGCTGTCCTTAGATTACAACACTGGAATGCCTGCAGCAGAAGAGGTTAATGAAGAGGGCTGCTATGCCTCATTGCACTCACTTGTAATTAATTAACCTAGATTCACTACAACAGATTCTCAAACTAAAGGAAGTTGAAGGGAATTGTGATTAGCTACACATTGGTTTGCACATTACTTACATTTACATGCATGCATTTGGCAGATGCTTTTACACAAAACATCTGACATTGGTTTACACATTCTCTGGGAACTGAAACTATGACTTTGTATTGCTAGCGCCAGGCTTTTTTAGCAGGAAAAGATAATGACTAATTAGCATGTGCATACAAGATTATGATGAGCTGCTGCTGTGCTTAGTGTTATGCATTATATATAATAACCTTCTTATAGTCAAAAACAACACAAAATCCTTTTAAGGCATTTCCCAATGTCTGAAATCACAGTGCCAAAGTTCAGACCACTACTAGCTTGTGACACATATGTTCTGCGGTGTATGACTCTGACAAGAGTCTCACCAGCTTCCTGTTCTCATGTCAAAATGTTATTTTACGTCATGATGACAATGTCCTGAGTAAACTGTGAATATCTACAGTTAGTGAATGATTAAACGATGTTAGATATTAGAATCATTCAGCTGTCAGTGCATTACAGCTGTGACTTTATTACTTTGAAACCGCAGATGACTCTGACACGCTCTCTAAGTAACTAATAGTGCAACCGGTTCACTCATTCATGACATCACAATCTTTAAAGAGAAATAACACAAAGAAATAAGCTCATGTCAATAAGGTCATTATTTTATGTTAAGTCATGTTTACTGCTCTACCAGCAATGGATGAAATATTAAACCAATATTATAAATAAATTTCAAACCTAACCAATATCATTAAAAACCCAATGACACATTCAGGAATAGGCTACATATTGAATTATTGTGCCTAGACTGCCTACTAATTTTTTTTTTCTTCTCTATTTTGATTTTCAAATGTCCAATAGGCCTACCATTGAGAATCAAGTTTTGGTAACACTTTATTTTGATGGTCCCCATTAGACATTCTGTTGACTATTAGTAATGTTGCTCCATGTCAACCAACTCTCATTAGAGTATTAGTAGACTGTCTTTTTCATATCTGCTAACACTTTGTGATGGTCCCCCGACAGACATTCTACTGACTATAAGTAACGTTACAAGTAGATGTCAACTTATTCTACTAACCATAACCCCTTATTCTACTAACCCTAACAATATACTAATACTCAACTAATACTCTAATGAGAGTTAGTTGACATGTTTAAAGAGGACCATCAATATAAAGTTTAACCCAATTTATTTTATTTTATTTTTGTCAGTTTCTCGGTTAATTTTAAGCTACAACACATTTCTTGACTTGAGAATGAATGGCAGTAAAAAGTTGGTGTCATATATCGGTAGACTCTATATTAAAGAACCGATAAGAGATTATTTTAAAAAGTGTGAATATTGGTAAAAGAAAAATCAGTCAAACCCATGTAAAATAAAATAAAAATTAAACACATTAAACTACCCAAAACTAAAATATTACTTGAATATCACCTACATTATAAACTAACAGATTACAAGACCAGTGAGAACATTCTTTAAACCAGTAAAAATAGAATGTAAGACAACTTTGCTGGAAAGCTTTTACCTGAGCTTGTATGATAAACTACAGTCTTTGTCATATAAAATAAAATGTACTTACTTACATATTGTTAAACACTGATTCCCCTTAAAGTATGTGTATCCGGTAAATAAAATCAGTTGATTTCCATGAGATGTCTAACCCCACACTGCACTCTGACTCTGGATGAGCACCGGTAGGAGTTCGTACTGTGAAATGAACCTGGGCGCGTCTTGCACATACCTATGTGTGTGTGTGATATCACAGCGTCACACCTCTTGTAGACACTTGGCAAAGGCTATAAAAACTCTCCCTGTTTTCTTAGTTATCAGCATACAATGTAGCAAGTGGCGAAATCTCATCATAAAGGTATTAACAAGGTAAATAGAGACCAGAAAATCTAAAAACTAAAAAATTTACTTCAATCTTGGAAATAAACAATAAAGTGTCATTGTTTTAAAACAAAGACATGTTTAAGAAAGCAAACGAATAAGAAATATTCAGTTTCTTTCTGCAATATTTCTGTCAATAATTAAATAAGCACATTTGTAACAGAGATCATGTGAATGTTTTTGTACAGACGGTCAGATGTTTGAAGTTGCTGTTCAGAATCAGATCTTCTCAAATCATTCTGAAGAACATGATCATCAGGTTTTACACAAACCTTTTATGCACTTCAAATACTTCTGTTAAAGCAAAAGGGTGAGAAAACAAATACTCAGAGTCAGACATTCTAAAATGCATTTTGATCTTTTTAGTTTAACTTTACACTCAAATTGTTATAATATATTTTGTAATGATCTCTAATCTAATATAATTTGCAGTGATTGCTATCTAACTCATACTTTTTGGCCTATACTGTTTTTATGAGATCCTGCTGCCCCCAACTGGTGACACCTTTCTCAAACCATAAGCCTATCTAAAAGAACTCGTATGGCAGGGTTCCATAAATCCGGCTCTGGAGGGCTACTGTCCTGCAGGGTTTAGTTCATACCCTGATCAAACTTACCTATCTGCAATTTTCTAGTAACTCCAGAAGACCTTGGCCCTGTTTACACCTGGTATTAAGATGTCATCCGGATTACATTAACATTTAACATAGGATCATTTACTGGAATCTGAAATATTTCTCAGATTCTTGAAGCTAACTAACTAATATAAAGATACAATCCCAAACAAGCAAGCAAACAAACCCCTTGTTCAATTCAATTATTTTAACGGTACTGTAATGTAAATGCTGTTGTCATGCATACAGTGTCCTCAGTGAGGCATTGTATAGATGATCATTCCACTCTGACATTCTGAACCAATAGGAAACCAACCCACACACAGATGTCAGAGGAACGGCTCTCCAGAAGACTGTGGGAGACGCTTCACCTGCTGCTCTCATGCATCGCTCGCATACATTCGGGATCCTTGTCCTCACACTGGCTCTCCAAGAATGCCGGTTAAACGCCTATAGGAGCCACCACGGCTGCCAGACGGGATAGCATCCTATCACCCAACAAATGACCAAGGAAACACGACTGCTGGAGCATAGCAGTATCTGGTTTCACAATAGTCTCCACCATTAATCTGCGTACATTTTTTTGGCTACCCCTTATAAGAAAGCATTAGGGATGGGATGGTCACTCTGCATATTCGAGTACTCGAATGTAAAAATATTAAAGCCATGGGCACTATTTTTTTAATAATAAAAATAACACTAATCATTTCAAACATCAAAAATCAGGCCTTTATCAGTTGTTTTTACTTTATTATTGCTTATTGTCACAGGACTTTGATCAGATTTACCTGCACCCAAATAATACAAATATATTATCGGATTGATGGCTTAATTTCTATCTATAAGAAGGGGTGGTGTAGATCTAAAATGCTATCAGTAGGAAAACATTAAGCATGCAAATGCATGAATCAAACTATTTTTTCAATCAAATTTTTAAAATAGCGCATGTATGCGTAGTGCCGTGATGTACATTTACATCACTGATATATCTTTAATATATCCCATATGCTTATTTTTCATGTCTTACTGGTCAGTGGATCATGAGACTGAATATTTACTTAATATTCGCTAAAAAAAAAGCTCTTCTGACACATATGTCAGCTTTCTTTTAGATATTTCAACAAGGTAAAAACAACTATTATACTCGCAGTAGCTCGAGTGACTATTTATCGCGGCGGTTTTCTTTGGTTCTGAATGTGATGACTGTACTATAAGTGCTGAAGATTTGTTTGGAATACATGTAATGCTCATGTAAGCGAGTATGTGAATTGGATTGCAATTTTTTGGGTCCAATTAAACTGAATTTCATAAACATACCTGTGAAACACTTTGAAAATCAAGTCACGCAATTATTTTCATGATCAATCATTGCTGTTATGTGCACTTGCGTATATAGAATAAGACTAATTATGCTATTTTCCTATTAGTCCCTCATTTGTATATCTTGACAACAAACAAAGATACTGTAGCATATAAACAATAGAGTGAAAATGGGATCATTTCAACAAATTAACAGGAACTAATTTTTTCAAGCTTCAAAAACAAAGCACCATAAATGTATCATAAAAAGAGGGTTGATTAGACTCATGAGCTACATGAGCTATATGAGTATATATATCAAGTTTTCTGAGTCCATACAATAAGTTTGTGTTAGAAAGAAAGTCATATGGGTTTAGAACAACATGATGGCAGAATCCTTACTTGCCTTTGGCTAACATAAGCATGGGCTGGGCTCCACAAACACTGAATTGAGCACTGACTTCTGAACTGACCGTATTTAGCTACAAGAATTTAGTTTTGTAGGAAGTAATTGAGTTTCCTGGATCATGTTATTTGTGTCAGAATAAACCCCAAAGGGACTTCCCTGCTAGGAGATACTGTAGGCCCAGTGTTCTATTTCAGACAAGCAAACAGTTGATAATATTTTGAAGGGAACTTTCTAAAAACTGATTTTATTTAATGCTGATTAAGAAAACAACGACATATAATTATTGCTTGGTTATCTGCTAACTAATGTGATGACACTAATTAGGGGATTTTAGAATTGTTATTTTTCTTTACATCTTTCCGTAGATTTATACCACAACCTGCTATGAAGAGAGCTACGAGTTCTTTGCTGTAAAAATGGTTTCTTGGGTCATGTCAAAAGTGCATGTGACGTTACGTGGCAACAGTAGTTTGCAAGGCCAGAGACAGGTCACAAATCTAAACTAACATACTTTTCAAGATGGTTGTGATTGAATATACATTGTTTATTTAGTGCCACATCCACTGGATATCCATAGGATTAGCGGTCTACAAGGTTAAACTGGTATTGCATGGAAGCCCGTAGATTCATATCTCCCCCCTTCCCGGGATGTCGGATTAGCACATATGGGAGCCGGAGAGAGTTTTATTATTGTGGGAATCTCCCCCATCCTGCCCATTCAGACAGGGAGCTCAGGCATGCTGAGAACACCAGTGAACTGTGACAGTCACATATATTAACCTTCACGTATGTCCCGTCAACACCAGAAACAAAAAACGGTGTTTAGAATAAGGTCTACGAGGTGAAATTAAACTTCATTTTCATTGAAGATTCAGAAAAGGCATGATCTTTTGGCATTATACACTCACTGGCCACTTTATTAGGTACACCTTGCTAGAACCGGCCTGGGTCGGACCCCCTTTTGCCTTAATTTTTTGTGGCATAGATTCAACAAGGTGCTGGAAACACTCCTCAGAGATATTGGTCCGTATTAACATGATAGCATCACGTGGATGCTGCAGATTAGCTGCAGTTGCTTTGCAGATTTGTGAGCCTGTGTAAATTGTAACCTAAGTTTCCTGTTCTTAGCTAACAGGAGTAGCACGTGATGTGCCTTCTGCTGCTGCATCTGCTTCAAAGTTAAAAAAATGCTCTTATGCAGACCTTGGTTGTAGCGAGTGGTTATTTGAGTTACTGTTGCCTTTTTATCAGCTCAAAACAGTCTGGCCATTCTCCTCTCACCTTTGGCATCAACTAGGCATTTTCAACTGCCGCTCACTGAATATTTTTTTTACTTTTTCTGACCATTCTCTGTAAACCCTAGAGATGGTTGTGAGTGAAAATCCCAGTAGATCAGCAGTTTCTGAAATACTCAGACCAGCCCATCTGTCACCAACAACATTCAAAATCACTTAAATCCCCTTTCTTAACCATTCTGATGGTCAGCTGTTTGTACCTATAATGTACCTAATAAAGTGACCAAAGAGTGTAGAATGTCGAATCATTAGTAAAGATTACACACATACACTAACAATTTAAAATAACTGTTTTTTTTATTTTAATATACATATATATTCCTGTGATGGCAAAGCTAATTTTCTTCAGTGTCACATGATCTTTCAGAAATCATTATAATATGCTGATATGGTCAAGAAAGATTTCTTATTATTATCAATATTGAAAACAGTTAGCTTCTACTTAATATTTTTGTGGAGACTGTTATATGGATAAAGTGATTTTTTGCAGGATTCTTGGATGAATACAAAAGAACAGGATTTATTTTAAATTGCTTTTTTTGTTGTTGCAACAATCAACATGTCTAGGCATTATTCACATTACTGTTATGCATGATTGATATTGCATGCACATTGTAAAACGTTAAATGTGCAACTATTTTTATATGATCTAACCCTTAAAATAAAATTGTTGGTGTAACTGTAAACCAATCTAGTACCAGATTAATTAATTTAGTCATTTTAAATAAACCTTCTGACTTAACTTAAACAAGTAAATTTAGATGGTACCACATGAAGCACGTTTTTTTTTCACCTGAGAAAACATTTAAAGTGTAAACAACATAAAACACAATGAGTATTAGGCTAAACAAAATTACAGTACAACAATTATACAGTGTAAAACTAAAACGAAGGTATGTGATATAGCTACTGAAAGTGTATCCAAGCAATAGCGTGTGAACAAAAAATGGATGTTAAGAATACGGATTATGTAACACAGAAGATTGGGATTAGTCCAGAACTCCAGATAGATAAAAAAGAATAAAATGGACTACTTCGGTAACCATACCAAGACTTTTGTCAAAACAACATTCCACAAACCATCTTGTGACATTGAAAAAAACTTTCTATCTTCAAGCATGATAAAATGTTATATTTAGCCTTAATAGTAATATAGGAAGGTCCTAAATATACATTCTGTGGGTCACTGTCAGTAATTAGTGACTTGTAATTACCCCAAACTAGCA